AACGAGGCTGATTACATTGGCCGAATAACCGAGTTTTTTGAGGGTGTTGACAAGACCAGCTACTTCACCTGTCGTTGGTTCTTCCGTCCAGAGGACACGGTGCGTATTGATTGACCATTGCTGTAGTATGCACTGTCTGTACTAATGCCTGGATAGCTTATGAATACCTGTTATCTTGCAGGTCATATCTAGAGCCAAATTTGTCAATGATCACACGCATGACCCAAAGCGTGTCTTTCTCTCCGAGGAAAAGAATGATAATCCACTTGACTGCATCATATCGAAGGTCAAGATAATCCATGTTGATCCCAATGTAGGTGCCCCTGTTCAAAACTTTGTCAAGTGTTAACGCGCCATTTATACATTGTTTCTCACTGTATGTTCTCCTTGGTTTCAGATGGACCCAGCAGCCAAGGCCAAACTGGTGGCTCGCACTGACTTATACTATGACATGTCATACACTGTTGCTTATTCTACATTTGCTAACATCCCATCAGGTAATTGCAGTTTCTGTTATTGATCTGTGCATTGTGTGCTGCTGCTGCATGTTTCCCATAATGTTGTTTATATTTATTTTAGCTCCTCTACAGTTCATTGCAAGGGGTGCTTTGGTTTTTGGTTAACTTGTAAGCCTTGAAAATAATAATAAAAAGATATTCTTTCACCATTCCTTGGTGATCGTAATCATGTCTGGTTCTGAGTTTTGTCACTTGAATGTGTATGTAACTTTCAACATATGTTGCTGAGCTAAAATTTCTATGATCCTCCAATGTTAAATCTAATCAAAGTTGTTAACTTGTGATCTAAAAAATGATTACTTTATGACTAAATGGCTTATTAGTGACAGATAAACTGGTTGACAGATTCACTCCTAGAATTTAAACAATTGATTTGCCCCTGTATTCTTCCATCTTATGATCAATATTCACTTTGCAATTTGCATTTTCTGTAGACACCACAGAGAATTCTGGTATTTCTACTGATGCTGATTCAGAGAATGGGGCCCCAGTAAAAACGGCATCCCTCCTTGACCTGTATTCTGGTTGTGGTGGAATGTCAACAGGGCTGTGCTTGGGTTCAGCGCTTGCTGGCCTGAAACTTGAAACAGTAATAAGCCTGCCCAACATTTTGTTTAAGACTGTTTTTGTCATTTCTCAGCACTAACTCTTCTATTTCTTCTTTATAGAAATGGGCTGTTGACCTGAACAGCTTTGCATGCAAGAGCCTTAAATATAACCATCCCAAAACAGAGGTGCGGCTTCTAAATTTCATTCTTAGATTCTAGTATTTGTTCTTTAGACCTGGTATGAAAGATCTTTATCTCTGATTGTAGGTTCGAAATGAAAAAGCCGAGGATTTTCTTGCACTTCTTAAGGAATGGGCAATTCTATGTGACAAATATGTCCATAGCAATGATTCTGATGCGGCAGAACCTGTTGAGGAAGAGGAAGCTGATGAGCCTCTTGGAAAGGATGAGTTTGTGGTTGAAAAGCTACTTGAGATCTGCTATGGTGGCACCGGGAGGAAAAATGGAATCCATTTTAAGGTGCTAATGCATTCTCTTTGGCCTTCCCCTTGTGGTAGTGTTAATACTTGCGGTTTTTATGCATAGATCAATTTATCTAATATAATCTGTTACAGGTTCAATGGAAAGGATATGGCCCAGAAGAGGATACCTGGGAGCCCATAGAAAACCTGAGGTAGGTACCTCATTTGCTGTATGCTCACAGCATTCTAATTTCAGTTTGCAGTGCACTGACTTTTGTTTTGTACCTAGTGACTGCCCATTGAAAATTAAAGAGTTTGTGCAAGAAGGGTACAGGCGAAACATTCTACCCCAGCCTGTGAGTAACTTTGTTTCTCTCAGTTTTTTGGTTCCACTCCAGATTGTCTGATTCCATTTACTTGTGCTGTCAAAATCCACAGGGTCAGGTTGATGTTATTTGTGGTGGCCCGCCCTGCCAGGGGATAAGTGGGTTCAACCGATTTAGAAACCGTGACAACCCTTTGGAAGACGAGAAAAATCAACAAATGGTTACCTATATGGACATTGTCTCTTACCTGCAACCAAAGTTTGTCCTGATGGAGAATGTGGTGGACATTCTGAAATTTGCTGATGGCTATCTTGGTAGATATGCATTGAGCCGTCTTGTATCTCTGAACTACCAAGCCCGCCTTGGAATGATGGTAGCTGGTTGCTACGGGCTTCCTCAGTTCAGAATGCGGGTGTTCCTTTGGGGAGCTCTCCCAACCATGGTTTGTTCTGTTTCTTCGTCACTATAAATTTCTGCTACAAATATGTTGCCTCATGGAGTGACATGACGTATTTTGCCTGCCAGGTCCTCCCAAAGTATCCTCTCCCTACTCATGATGTAGTAGTACGTGGTGGTGCTCCAAATGCTTTCTCGGTAAGTCTGATCACAAATTTAATGAAATGATGAATAGGGAGAAATGTAAATCTGCTGACTAGCTTGTTTCATTTGCAGCAAAGCATTGTTGCATATGATGAGACGCAAAGACCGACCTTGAAGAAAGCTCTCCTTCTTGGTGATGCCATTTCAGATTTGCCCAAGGCAAGTGCCTTTCTTCCCTTGTTCATTTCTTCCTCTTCTACATTTGTTCTAACATCCATTATTATGCAGGTAGACAACTATCAACCTCATGAGGTAATTGAATATGGTGGTCAACCCAAGACTGACTTCCAGCGCTACATACGACTTAGTCGTAAAGGTAATACATATAGCTCTACCAATAATATGAATTTCATCTTCTTTGCATTGTAAACGGCCTTTCCCTTTTCATTTCAGATCTTAGTTTCTGTCTTATGCCTGAATTTTGTTCTTGCTGCTTCCAGATATGTTGGACTATTCATTTGGTGATGCCACTTGTCCTGAAGAAGGAAAGCTCTTGGACCACCAGCCTTTGAGGCTAAACCAAGATGACTATGACCGCGTCCAGCAGATTCCGATAAAGAAGGTAGGTGACCGAATAGTTTCAGTGCTTGTTCTCCCCCTTTGCCTTCTGTGTGACCATGCTGGACCTGTCTTCCAGGGAGCGAATTTCCGTGACTTGCCAGGAGTCAAGGTCGGAGCGAATAACATTGTGGAGTGGGATCCAGAAGTTGAGCGTGTCTACCTCAAGTCCGGCAAACCTTTGGTACAGATTCCACTGCCTAATTCCTTTTTGAATGTTTGTATGCTGGTGCAAATTCTGTTACATAACCTAGGATGCTACCTGAACATAGGAGTATAGGACAATTGCTGCTAGTAATGAAAGTTACAATGTACAATTGCTTAAATGCTAGCTTGTTCATGTGCACAGGTTCCTGACTATGCAATGTCCTTCATCAAGGGCAGATCACCAAAGTAAGTGCCTTTGAATGTCTTCTTTCATCTCTCCATTTCTCCAACTGTACATCTTATGTTACTCACACAATGCGTTATGATGTTTTTGCAGGCCGTTCGGTCGGTTGTGGTGGGATGAGACAGTTCCCACGGTGGTGACTAGAGCAGAGCCGCACAACCAGGTCAGTTTTGGCGCAACTTCCAATGCCGTCAGCAATCAGTTTTGTGCTTGTTGCTTAGTTTGTTTGTGCTGCCCGCAGATCATACTGCACCCGAATCAGGGACGTGTTTTGACTGTCCGTGAGAACGCAAGGCTGCAGGGTTTCCCTGACTACTACCGGATGTACGGTCCCATGAAGGAGAAGTAAGTTCCTCTATGCTGTTGAAAATTGAAAACTGAAACCATTGCGAAAAACTGGAGACAGAAACTGAAACATCTCGATGATGGTTGCAGGTACATCCAAGTCGGCAATGCGGTGGCGGTCCCTGTTGCAAGGGCACTGGGCTACTCCTTGGGCCGAGCATACCAGGGTGAGGTGGATGTGGGGTATGATGCGCTCTTTGTTCTCCCTGACAGCTTCACCAACATCGGGCAGACCGGTGCGAGGGCGAGGGCCTCCTCCGTTGGCACCCCTGCGGGCGAGGTTGTCGAGCAGTAGAGCAGAGCCTATCTTCTGTTGTGTTATGTGGGGTGGGGGTTCGAGTCTAGTCCATTTGTCGCGGGAACTAAATTGCTGCAGCATGTAAGGATTGCTCGAGTTGTTGCTGTGTGTCAGCTGGTTGAACTTGTGATCGTTGAGATCCTTGGTTCTAGATGAAGAAACTAGTAGTAGTATGTTGTTGCATTGTTGCTACCCATTGACAATTATTATTGTCTGTTGCTCCATCACTGGAATTGGTCTGGTGTATGTGGGATTTGTCTATTTGCTGGAGATTTACTGGCAGTTATGTTATTCTAAGCTCAAATTATAGATTTGGGCATGGAATAATGGTTGATTAGTACTCCCTTTGCAAAGAAACATAAAAGTGTTTAGATGACTACTTTAGTGATCTAAACATTTATATTTCTTTATGGAGGGAGTACAAAGTTAATGTAGGGGATTCACACATGTTGATGGGTGTGTTGTAATCCTTTTCAGCTGCACTTAGTCAAATCATGTCTAACATAACTGTATGAAAAGAAAGAATAAAAAAGGTGCAAAAAAAAGTCTTCTGCTTTTTAAAATATACGGGTAAAAAAAGAGAGAAAACATCAGAGGGAGAGAAAACATTTAGCAAATTTTCTATTTGAAACAACATTATGCTTTATCTAAAAAATGGGAAAACACACCACGGTCGATAGGTCACATGCCTCTTGCAGATAAAGCATAACTGTGATCCCAGGGGTCGTCTTCTCCGGCGAATCAACCATTTTAATTGGGAACTCTATCGCCGAGTCATCGATTTTTTAATTTAAAACGAAGTTACACAAAGGACATCATGTGTACAGCAATTATGAAGGGAACACAATAGACAATACAGTAAAAATTCAACAAAATGCAAAACGGTTAATAAAACTTGCAGAAAACCATACACATACTAGTAGAAATCTGATGTACCAGGACAAAGAAGGGAACATTTTGCAGTTTTGCCCCTCAAACTCCTCCGGGTCTCTCAATGCCGCCCCGCTCCGGTCGCCGCCTCGCCGCCCACTGGCACTGGGTCGTCGACGCCCTCGCCGGCGACGAGGCCCTCGACTTCTCCCTCATCCAAGGTAACACCAGACCCTAAGAGGATCCATTGCGTACCCCGTTCGCCTCGACCGGCGCCTTCGGTCATCTCACCTAGGGTTAGCTATCGGTGCTCCGCAGCGCTGGTGGGCGCCTCGCCGGAGCCCCTCGCGGGCGCGCCGGAGGCAACGCGGGAGAGGTTCGCGCTCCGATGCCTGCGGGAGGTCGCCTCCGTCGCCGCCCAGGGCGAGGTCCCGGTTGCTGCGGCGGCGGCGGCGGCGGGGGGCGGGACGATGCTTAGGGTTGATGCCACCCGCTCCTGCGAGGAGTTGCTGCTCGAGCTACTCGGACAGGTATGCAGCGTGCACTCGTTCTGGTTGTTCAGAACTTCAGATTTCTGATTTACCTTCTGTCACTGAAGTAATATCTGCGTAGTGGAGTGGTTGAAGTTTCATTCATCCAGGTGGACAATTCAAGATGCAACATACCGTCGCTGCATTTACTACTCAGTGATGTTGCTAGTTGAATTAAATTCTGCCCAGATCCTGATGCAAACTCAACCGGAAATCATAATCTTGATTACTTCTTGCAAATCATACACTCATTCAGACTTGATTCTCCCAATGGCCAAAGTGTGTAGCCCTTGCAGTTAAAAGTTGGAGATGACAGGCTACACTGTACAGCAATTGATCCCATGGATAGTCCTGCTTACTTAATTTTTTTGTGCGCGGTACACTGAATCATAAAGTGATTGTGTCTAGCGACAATAGCTGTGAACATAACATGGGAAGACCTTGTATATTGTTTGTACTCTGTAATAACATTTGTATATTAAGGGCTCAAAATATGGCAGCATTCTAAATTCTGACTGGCATCTCATTGCTGGTATTTTAGTCAAATAGTAGTGGGCTCTTGTGTTCTCTGTGGAGAACTTATCTGCTTCTACCTGATGAGTTGTTCACTGATCCATTGCTATAGTTCACCAATGTTGCTATGCTAGATGATGTTATTATTTGGGCTCATGTTTTCTTGTGATATGAAATATGATATATCCCTATCAATTATGTCTCAAGTCCTGCCAAGTGCCAATGGTATTCTAGCTACTCCATCCGTTTCTAAATATAAGTCTTTTTAGAGGTTCCACTACAGACTACATACGGAGCAAAATGAGTGAACCCACACTCTAAAGTATGTCTATATACATCCGTATGTAGTCTATAGTGGAATCTCTAAAAAGACTTATATTTAGGAACGGAGGGAGTAGTTATACATTTACGATGTCCCCAAAGGTCAAAACAGCATCACTTTACAGATTAATACATTCTTCAATTTGTGGAAGGAGCAGGGATGTGGTGGATGCCATGTTAGATACTTGCATCAGATAATTATGCATGTGTTCTAATGGCTACACTTTTTTTGTGTGTGTGTGACTAAGCTCTCCTATATTTTGGCAAAATAATCATCATATGTTTTGGTGTCTTTAATGTGTGGAAGCTAATACATGCTGCAGTTTAGTTAGTGCCTAGATGTTTATCTTCTTGAGGTTTTGCTTTACATGAATGTAACATCTGCAGGTTGGTAGTTCAGGAAGCTTGGAGAAAGATATGGTTCTGCCTTTTATCAAGGATATCCAAAAGTTTATATGTACCAAAACACCGGCTTTACCAGAAACTTCTTTTGAGTTGGTATGTGAAAACAGTTATTCTCAAAACTGTAAATAAAAATGCACTCGATTCACGTATGATTAAGCTTCTCGTTTTATGTTCAGCTTAGAGAAGTGAACCCAGAGATCGCATCTATGGTCCCACCGTCCCCAATGGAGCAGGGTGGCAAGAACAATGACAATGACCGGTCGTTCTGCAGCATCAACCCTGATCATGTAAATACAGAGAGGCATGGGTGCCATACAGATAGTTCTGATTTTCAGCGACAGAAGGATCCTATGGAGCGAACTCCAGATTTGCATGAACCATCTAGGCTGCACAATAGGTGTTACGATCGCCCTCAAGAAGATACCATTGGTGCCATTGGTGTCAGTGTCAGATCCGCACAAACGAGTCCTAGTAAAGATAGTAGAAACATGTCCATTGCAACTGAGCCTGCTTCAGCTAGCTGCAGTGGTGCTTTGGTCCGAAGTAATACTGAACTTATGTCAAAGCAGGATGCGGTGGAGACTACCATGTCCCAAGAAAAGAGTCCAACTACCATTCTTCAACGAGAATCCTGTGGAGACAAGTACAGAAATCCATGCCGCGATAATGATGGAGAGAGACCACATGGTCATGACACCAGCATTCATTTATCAAAGAAACTCAGTCATGAAGGATTGATCATGCAGGCTATGGTGGCTCTAGATTCTGAGAGAGCTGATGCTTTACGGACAAATATATCTGAAACAAATCACTTGCCTGAGTTTGTTTCTGCAGATGTTACAGGCATGATGACAGAATTACATGGCAGAAAAACTCAAAGGAATTCACCACAACATGACAGTGGCGAGACAGCAGTTCAAGTTATGGATGATGGTAGTGCCAGGATTCAGCCAGTGGAAAAGGATCCTGGTCATAATGAACTGAATCTGCAAACTGCTGGTGTTTTACCTTCTGTAAGCTGCAACAGGGCTGTTCAAGGAGATAAATCTGAAACCAACCTTCAACAAGAGAATGCTACAGGGCATTCTAAAATATTTGAGGAGAAGAATGGCGATAAGGCTCATCTCGAGGTCAGTTGTGCTGACAAAGCTAATCCAGCACTACTTGATGATGTCAGCATCTTGGAAAATAATACATCCGGTGGTAGGCAGACTGCTCTAGATTCTCCTTGCTGCAATGTGCCGTCCTCTAGTCAGGATAAAGATGCCAATCGTGCCATCAAGGGCCTTACGGAGCAAGATTTGTGCATAAAATGTGGTAAAGATGGACAGTTGCTGAAATGTAGCAGCTGCTCATTAGCCGCCCATGATGGCTGTTTTGGTTCACCAGTGACTTTTGATGCTTCTGGCCAGTTTCATTGCCCTGTATGCTTCTATACTAAAGCTACCGAAGCATATCAAAAGGCTAAAAAAGCATATTTGGAAGCTAGGAAGAACCTATCTGCTTTCCTTGGCACAAAGCAATTCCCAAAGCTACATGAACAATCTACTGTAAAACAACAAACAGCTACCAACAACAAGGATCACTTGAATGAGTGTAATACATCCAAAAGGCAAGGTAACCATCAATCTGAAGCGGATAATCTTTCTCATATGGACGAAGAACCTAGTCAGCAGAGGAATAAGCAGAGAACTAATGATACAAGTGTTGCGTGTCCTGAGGATCAGTTGAATGGGTGTAATACATTCGAAAGGCAAGGTAACCATCAGTCTGAAGCTGACAACCTTTCTCATAAGGATGAAGAACCTGGTGAGCAGAGGAAGAAGCAGAAAACAAATGATACAAGTGATGCATGTCCCAAGGAGGATCAGTTGAATGGGTGTAATACTTCCGAAAGGCAAGGTAACAATAAGTCTGATGCATATAACCTTTCTCATAAGGATCTAGAACCTGGTCAGCAGAGGAAGAAGCAGAAGACAAATGCGACAAGTGATGCTTGTCGTGAGGAGGTAGTCACTGAAAAGGCATCTTTTGGTCTGAATTCTAATATTGCACCAAATAAAGATTCTGTACTCCAAAATAAAAGAAAACAAGTTCATGTTACAGAGCATGAGCAGTCTGTGGAAAATGCAGAAGCCCATGAAGATGGTAACGGCAATTCATTTTGTGAACCGCAACATTCATCTCAGAACAGGTGTAGTCCTGTTGTCAGTCAGAATGTTGAGGCTGATAAACATGTCAGTCTTACAACTTCTCATGAGTGTGAAAGTTCCGATGAAATAGAAGCTACGTCTTCAAATGATTCTGGCAAGCAGTCGTCACCCCCTTGGCGAAACATGAGACACCACAAAGCAAAATTTCAAGAAAGGGAGACTGTAGTATCAAAAAATTCTAAAAAGGCATTGGGATGCCAGGATCAGCACATGCCTTCACCATCAAGAAAACGGAAGTGTGCATATCCACCCAAGCGTTAGTAAGTGTTATGACGGTGCTTCATAAACACTTCTTTTCCTGATTCTATTCTTTGGTTTAATTAAAAATGTCTTTGAGACTGATTAACCTAGAATTAAGTGACATTGAACATCTTTTTGGACTTGTGATAAATAGAGTTGTAGGGTGGATGTTTATGAGATCAAACCTACTGAGTCCCAGTGCTCTTGCACTAGCACTTTCTATTATTCGAAGTTCTTAGTTCAACACCATAGATAGTATGGTGCTAATTAGCTTCATGATGATCGAAACTTTAGGAGATGTTGTATCTCTAGAGGAAGTGGCAACTCTATGTCATGATATTGATACAAGGGTAAGTTGCCTCTGTATTCATGGTTAATTTCAAGTTCAAGAGCTTTCGAGAACTCATGGTCAGAATGAAGTTACATACGGGATAGTGAAGTGAAGACTGTAGTTAACTGAATATGGTACTGAATGCTGGCATATATTAAGGCACGTTATTATTTTAAAGCTGTTTTGCACAAGCACAACTGGGCATTACTCTCGTCTGTGAGAGAATGCCTGCATTAACATAATCTGCACACATAGAATGGTAGTGGAAATGTATATTTTGCTATTTTTTCCTCATACTTCATTTAGAGTACTAATGTTTCTTAGCACAGAGTTCTATTCGGATGTTTTCCAGTTATTGTGAAATTCTCTGTATTTTGAAGTGTACAATTTAATAGCGTTTGTTTTTGCAATTCCAAAAACTGAGCCATATCTGTCTTTGCAGCTGTAATTCTCTTGCACCAGCTGGAAGGCGCTCAAAGCTCTGTTGGACAGAAGAAGAAGAGCAAGCTTTGAGGGTAAGCATACCCACCCCAGGCTGTTAAATTCATTACTTATGCTGAAATCTTGCACGACTGAACTTTCCTTGTTACCAACGTGTATGTACTCGTGTCCTTGCTGGCATACTAACATCAATTCATTGGCTATTCTGGCTCAGGATGCAATGTTAAAATTCACCCCAAAGGACGATGGGCTAATTCCATGGATTCAGATATTAAAATATGGCAGGAATGTGTTTCACAAGGCACGCCTCCCGAGTGATCTGAGAGTCAAATGGAGGAATATGAAGAAGAAATCAGACTCCTAGTATTGACTGGCCATCTGACACCTTATGCAGCAATTGTGCCATGCTTGCCTAACCCATTATTAACCTCCTCAAGCTAGCCACTTGTTCATCGGACACCTAATGTAGCAAAGGAGCAAGATGAGGAGGAGCTGGTGCTGCAGGTGGATATCACCTCGTCCTCGGGGGAGCAGCAGGAGTGGACGGAGCACGCGGCGGGCAAGGAGGCGCGTGGTGCAGCCGACCAAGAAGGCCAGGAACGCGTCTGGTGGTGACAAGGAGCCTGATTTCCTCGGCGAGCCCTTCAACGCCGATGAGGCGCGCACCAAGTGGCCACAACGCTACCAGCGAGGCCCTGCAAAGAGGTATGTACGCCGGTATCTGTCCCGGATCTGCTCTCTGGCTTTTCCCTTCGGTGGGTGGTCTTGTGTTGATGAACCATGTGCGTTGTTGCATAGGCCAGATGAGGAGGAGGACGTCATGGCGCGGTGCCAATACCGCTCTGCCAAGGTTGACGACGTAGTCTACGCGCTGGCGACGACGACTATGTCATGGTAACAGATCTACTCTGCATCTCCTGTTCCCTGGCTTTCTTCTACCAGAAAAACTCCCTGCATTTCCTGATTGCAAAATAAGTGTATCTGCAGGCTATCTATGCCATGACTGGTTGCAAGCCTGTTAAACGTGCCTGCTCACTAGCTTAGCGTGTTCTCCCTGAACTTCAAATACACCGAGGAAGTCTGCTTTCCTCCGTGAAACTCATGTACTTGTATTCTGTTGCTTCGTTTGTTCAATGTAGCACGGGGGAAACCCTTGTTTTTGTAAAATAATGGTAATTGCTCCGCTTGCATAGAGTAGCTACTGTTTACATCTGTATACAGATGGCTTGCCACATGCATAAAAATGCTCCAGATAGGATTTGAAACGGGGTAGTTTAGAACATTTGGATTTTCTTACAAAGGCCCTATTCATTTCTGGCATTACGATTTTTCTGATTGTATGATGGATGCTCTAAATGTTGCTTAACCTGGACCTAACTTGCAAAGTTAGTAGTACTTGTTTACACCCTGTTCTTCACTGCAAACTTGCATGAATCTATGGCTCTTTATCCAAAAAGTTCCACTTGGATTAAAATGCGTAATGACCAGATAGTTGAGCTCTTATATTGCTATCACTCTTTAATAATCACTGTCTATCTTAAATCGTTATTTTCTTTTGCCATTCACAAGCTGGGGAAAATGAGGCTGATTACATTGGCTGAATAACTGAGTTCTTTGAGGGTACCAACGGGTGCCACTGCTTTCTTGGATGCGTTTGGTTGAAGGTGTCGTATGAATGGGTTGGGACCGTTCAATTTTTTTGGGATTGAACCATTCAATTCATGTGTTTGGCTGAATATAAGTGGTGAGCTAATTATTTAGGACGGGACCACCAGTCATGCTCACATAGTCATGCATGCAAAGGGTGGCCATTTGATTCAACCGATTTGGTTGGGTGAAACGGTTCAGCATCTTCATGGCATATTCTCTTTTTTTGGCTCGAACCATTCATGTGCTTTATAACCAAACATGTCTATTTTCTGAACGATCCCAACCCATTCATGACCGCCCTTGCAACCAAACGCACCTGTCGTTGGTTCTTCATCCAGAGGACAAGGTGCGTATTGATTAAGCATTGTGGTAGTATGCACTGTCTGTACTAGATAGCATAGAACTAATGGAAAATTCGAATCTGAACCCGAGCTCATCTGCACCTGCGCTCACGAAAAGATCAAAATAAATACTATTTTTTTAAAAAAAATTCCAAAAAAATTTGGGGTGGTGGACAATTTGATGCGTGAGGTACGCTCCAATTTTTAAAACATTTGGACTTCTGTGCAGCTCTCAGCAAAAAAGATAAATCGGAGGTCTGTAAAAATGTGTACTGTTCATATACTGTTCTGGTCTGATTTGTCTTTTTTGCTGAGAGCTGCACAGAAGTCCAAATGTTATGAAAATTGGAGCGTACCTCACGCATCAAATTGTCTACCACCCAAATTTTTTTGGAATTTTTTGATTTTTTTTGAATATTTTACTAATGTTTTTTTGACCGGGTGCAGATGCACCCGGGCACCGAAACGCCGCTCTCAGGTGATATCCAGAACCAAGCTTGTCCAAATGCAGGTGTCTTTCTCCGTGAGGAAAGAATGATAATGTGCTCTACTGCATCCGAATGTAGGTGTACATGTTCAAAACACGCGCATGCGTAAGCCCACACACACATACATTAGTATTTGATTTGGTGAGATGTTAATAGTCATTAGCTGAATATATAATATGATTTGGTAAGATTCACCAAATCTTGCACTTTAAGTGTATATGTATTGAGTCAATGAGTACTAATTTAATACATATCATCAAATCAAATAAACACAATATATAAATATATTAATTCACTTATTGGCTATTAATTTCAATAGATTCACCAAATCTTGTACTTTAATGTGGTGAATCAACTATAAAAAGCCTTGCCCATTTTGTTTGTTCTCCTCCAGAACTCACAAATCACACAACGACCGACAACAAACACTGCAACTAGTTAAGATGAGGGCTACACAGGCGTTGCTCCTGGCCCTCGCCTTACTCATGCTAGCATCAGGTACTCATTTGTTCTTGTAATACATTTCTGCACAGTTTCATCCGACGAATAATGGCCATGTTGTGACCATCCTTTTTCTTCGTGGAGATTTTGCAGATGTGGTAACGGAGGCGTCGATGGATGGCGGCGTTAAAATCTTGAGGTGTGCGGCAACCAATATACCATCACCACAGCCATGTGACAACTTCACTTGCGAACTCGCATGCTTCAACCTTATAAAGTTACCCAAGCAAGGCAAGTGTACCGATTTCGGGTGCAAGTGCATGATATGCGAATACACCCCTCCAGCTAAGATGGCATGACATGTTCAATGGAATGATGCGAGGAAATCGAAAATGGTGTAGCAGCAAGGTTGTTCACTAATAATCGACGTATTTTGAAGAATGATGGATTTGATCTAGCTTCCTGAATGGTCTAAAATTGTGAAGCTGTTGCTACATAATGTTTATGTGTACTTTCTTGGGGCATATTTATGTTAGAATATTTGGGCTTGGCCCAATGGTCTCGGGTCCCAATGGACCTGAATTGAAAATAATAATTTAGAAAATTCAAAAAGAGTAAAAAATTCCTGAAGCCTTTTGGAATCAAACATGATCAGGTATTACACTCGGCGCGAAAAGTTTTGTGAAGGAATAGTTTCGAGCCTTTGACTGACTCCATGGCCAAGAAAACAAAATTGTGAGTACAAAAAGTGTGAATAGTAACTTCTATATAGTGTTGATTTTTTTCCGCCTAGAATATCATGACAGTCATTCATTCTCGAAACGTTTCACATGAGTGTAACACCCGATCATGTTTGGTTCCAAAAAGTTTCAGGATTTTTTGATTCTTTTTGATATATTTTTTCAATTCGATGTATTGGCACCCGAGACCCAAAGATCACCTTCAAGTCTCCCAGGTGTCGCTCCTGGCCCTCGCCTTGCTCATGGTGGCGTCAAGTACTCATTTGTTCTTGTACAAATAATACGTTTCTTCACAATCTCATCCAACAAATAATGGCCATGTTGTGACCATCCCTTGGAGGTTTTGTAGATGTGGTAACGGAGGCGTCAATGGACGGCAGCCCTAAATTCAAGTAGAGGTGAATAATGCGACTAAATCGCAAATGATGTAGCAACAAGGTTGTTTACTGGTAATCGGCATATTTTGAAGAATGTTGAATTTGGCCCGGCTTGACTCTGGTGGAGAGTGCTCTACAAGGTTATGGGAGGTACAGTGACTCTGGCAACAATCACTGAACCCTGCGCCGACCCAACACACATGTCGCCCGAGCCGAAGTCTCATACTGCAAAATCTCCACAGCAGTCTGTAGGCACTGACCTCATAGTAGCCCATAAAGGAACAATAATGTTGAAAAAGAGAGTATAAATACAGTTGACAAAAGGCTGCAATTAGCTGTGAAAAACAAATGTGTTCAAAACTATGGTACTCCCTTTGTTTTGAGATTTAAGTTTGACCATAAATTTAGATGGGCGACCGCGGCGGGAGCAAAAATGATACCATTGAAAACTTCTTTAGCATACGAATTCAATGATATAATTTTGCTCTTGCCGCAGTCACTCACGTTGGCTAAATTTATAATCAAAATTAAATCTCAAAAAACGACGGCGCACTATATTAGAGCAACTCCAACGCGTCGACTCATTTCGTCCGCCCGCGTCCGTTTGGGTCGGCGCCGACAGAAAAGTCGGCCCAACGCGTCGACCCAAACGGACGCGTGTCCGCTTTTCATCCGCCTGCCGACCCATTGTCGGTCCAATTTTTACCGAAAAAGGGTTTCCCCCCGCTTTGTATTCCAAAGCACCAACACCGATCACAGAGCAGACGCTGTGGCGAGCAGCACAACAAGCCAAAGAAAAAATTGTCGGTCCAATTTTGAGCCTCGTTTACGACGCAAAAGTATTTTCGTGGACGCTTCTGAGGGTTCTGAAATGTATGTGAATATATAGGACGAAGAGGTAGGTCAAGGGATCCCCAAGGGGGCCACAAGGCTGGGGGTGCCCACCCCCCCCCCTAGGGCGCGCCCTCCACCCTTGCCGCCGCCTCGTGGCTCTTCTGGCTTGGACTCCAAGTCCTCTGGGTGTCTTCGAGTCTAAGAAAAATCATCGTGAAGTTTTATTTTGTTTGGTGTTTCTTTTCTGCAAAACTCAAAAACAAGAAAAAAAAACAAAAACTGACACTGGGCTTTAGGTTAATAAGTTAGTCCCAAAAATAATATAAAATAGCATAATAGTGCATATAAAACATCCAAAACAGATAATATAATAGCATAAAACAATAAAAAATATAGATACATTAAAAACGTATCACGAAGATCGAAGAAACGGTGGCCAGCACATCCGCGCCCGCCCACCATCATCGAGGAGAAGTAGCACATGGGAGACCGC